CATCTTCCCAATCAATGAGGCTCACCCTAATCATCCTAGTTAAATGCAAAGTCCCCATTTCTGATCCATCTTTATTCTGCTCTAATTATCTTTTTCATGTCTCATTGCTAAAATACTATGTAATTTTATATATTTTATAGTTACATTAATTATCTCTATGATTTATTGTATGTATTCCTCTGCTACAATATAAGCTCCACAAACGAAGAGAATGTATCCATCTTCTTCACACTGTATCCTCAATGTTTACTACAGTTCCTAATGCAGAGTAAACATTCAACAAATATTTGTTGAATGTAGAGATCTCATAATTAAAGTTAGCTACTCAAATATCAGAGAACCATGTAAGACAAGATGATAAAGCAGTGATTTTTCAACTTATAATCACATACTGTCTCATTATTTTTCAGTCTTATTTAATTTCAGACAGAACACAATCTAAAATGCTAGACATTAAGAGGAGAGAGCCGTATGGACTGAAACAGTTGAATAAATTTTCATGCAGATGATAGAATTTCAATGTATTTATATGGATGATATTTATACTGAGGATTTAGGTGAAAGAGTGGAGTGGACAGGTGAAAATATCACACATTAAATAAATATATCCCTAAAGTGATATTAAAAGATAGCCTATTTGTTATGGAAATATCTTACACTCAAGTTTGCCTTTCAAGAATCTTCCATTTATGATCATGAGAATCAATATTGCTATTACTATTGGTAAACTCTCTATTTGATAATGACAATGTTGTTTGCTACATTTAGATTCCATATGTGTCCACTGCATTGGGAAAAACGTTTGCTTTCATACTTTAATATCAATTTAAACCACTTAAAGCCTAACTCAAGATTTTAATGACACTTTAGTTTTGGTTTTCATTTTGACACCAATAACCTTGTTTTATACTTAAATAAAGTTTAAAACTATATTATTACAGATTTAAGATCCTTCTGTCAAAACTTGGTTGTCTGTAATAGACAAGGTAGTCTAAATAAAAACAATGAACTGCATGTACTACAACCTAAATGTAGCCATGGCTTTCCACTTCTCCCGTGCCAGGCAGGAAAGATCCATATTTGATGGATTTCAGGATCCTCCCCTTTCCGTTCTCTGCACACCCTCTGGTGGAAGAATGACTGAGCTGTGAAATGGTCAAATGGAGGCAGCAGGAAAGAGAACAAGAATTAATAACCCACAAGATCGATTCGTTCTTGAATAATTGGAAGTTGAACAGAAACTTTTTCAACCTAATTTTTTTTTAAAAAAAGGAAGGGCAAAGAAAATAATTAATTAATCAGATAAGGTAGTCTATTACATCTTTACTACGTCAAGATATTAATATTCTGTTAAGGCTATTTTGATTAATTCCATTGCAGTAAAAGCTTTGCTTCAGTTTTAAATTCTGAACATGGAAATGTCATTTCTCATTTGGCAGTATTTCTGTGAACATATTCAAAATGGATTTTGCGGTATAGTGACTGAAGTGAACATATTGGGAAATATTACTACAACGTTCTAATTTGGAGAGTAAACTTTTATTGATGTCATCTGCTACTTATGAATAGGGCAATAGTCCATTTTTTAAACTAAATACACCATTTTGCTATAAAACACAGTGTTCCCCATATAATTATTTTAGATTACAGTCCTTCTTGGTTATTCAGCCTAAGTTTGAATCTACTCTAAATTTAATGAGCTTGAATCTCCAGGGATTCCTAAAAGAAGAGAGCTCGTGATGCCCTTAGAAGAGTGTACCTTACAGGCCTGCGTGAGAAAGTTTATGAGATGTCTCAACTGAAAAATAAGGATTAGAACATGAATTGTAATGGTCTACAAATGTTTGACCCTGTTTCCTACAGCAATCACAAGTAAAAATGGTTGGAATAAGATACACTATTAAAGTGAAGGATATTTATCCCCCTGTTTCTGGATAAACAAATTTGAAAATCAAAACAAAGTTCATCTTAGAAAATATGTGTGTATATGTATATACGTACACAGACATACACATATATATTACCTTTTTTTAAATTGAAAATGCCATGTTTCAGAGGACAAAGACTAGTTAATAAACGTGTGGGTTCTATAATCAAATCTGACATAACTTTAATAGGAAGTAACATAAAGGAGTAAAAAAGAACAAAAGATATGGTGTTAAAAAAATGAATTAAATTCCACCTGTATCCATTTCCATCTATAAACAGCCATTAGATATTTAAATGTCACCTAATCATTGAGAATGTGTAGTTCCTCATTCATAAAATGAAAACAATATTGCCTAATATAAGGTCCTCACAGGATTATTAAAAGAATTATATTCTTTTCCACAGTGCCATAGAGAAGTGTAAGTTACCTTACCTCTTGCTAGTACTTGAATTTTATTTAGTATTTATTAGGTACTTATTAAGTGCCAGACATGATACTAAGTGCTTCATCTTCATACCATCTAATGCTCAGATCAACTCTTTGAGTTAAGCAAGAAATGAGTAAGTGATGTTCAAATATTACAATATCTGCCTAAGATTATGTGGCTAGTTAAGTGACAACACTGGGATTTGCAGACCCTTTCCAAGCTGTGCTTTTAATTACTATGCTATAGTAAACTCTGCATGTTTATAGTGAACTACCAGTTAAAGGTATACTCTAAGAACTTTTCCTAAACTTTGGGATCCATATATTAGTATATATGGTAAAGTTCCCCTGACAACCTATTTTTCCAAATGTGTTTCAACTTTCATAAGCAAATTAAGATAGCTCTGCAAAAATACAAAAATATTGCTCAGCATAAACTAGTTATATATATATTTATTTGTTTATATTATAATATATGTATTTATAAGTACATATTATAAACATTTATTTATTTATAATTTAATTCCCTAAATGCAAGAGCATTTATCTCAGCTGCTACATTGATTAGAAGTTGGAATATTCTTTCAGTGCACTAATTTCTACCTCTTCACTGTGTTCTCTTAGGTAGATATATTTTACAAATTTATACCTCAAGCCAGGTCATTTTGACGTGATATTTGGTTCCTTTGTTGACTGACACCATCTGCTTCTGTTTATTTCTAATGATTACAGATAGCATTTATGCAGCACTTTATGACAATTACTTTATCTGCCTTCTCTCTTTCAATACTCATCACAACTCTCTTTTGAAATCATTCAGATAGTTACCACTTTGCAGAGTAGGAAACTAAGACATTGAACATTTAAATGACTTTCCTAGGATTGCATAACTAGTAAGTGATAAAGCTGGGATTCTATCTGAATCCAATAAACTCTGCTCTGAACAATTCTAAGTTTAAACTGTAAACAACATAATACAAGTTTTTAAACAAATAATGCAGTATCATTTTCACCCCAGCAGGGAATTCCATTTTCAGTAGAAGATAAAGAGATACAGACTTTTCCTTAAAATTGGATTTTAATTTGCGTCTGCTTCCGTGTCTTGGTTTACACATAATTTAAGGAAAATCATCCTGAGGCGGGCACTTGTGGAGATAAGGCATCAGGCACACCAGCATGTAATGAGCCCAGGCCAGGGACTGAACTGAAAAAGCTGCAGGGAGAAAAGAAGAGGCCTTACGCCCGTGTTGGTTGCAGATTTCCTGGTGGCTTGAGGGTTAGCTTATTGACTTCTTTGCCATTTTGTTAACGTCTAGTCAATGAGGGCAGCTCTAGGTGTTACGGCCTTTACAAAAAGGAGAATTGTCCTTTTTCATTCAATTCATACATAATGGAACTCCTGCACTTCGGTGGGTTTTTATTAAGTAGCCAAAATATCTCAGCAATAATTTTAGGCCAGCATAGCTTCTGATGAAATTTCACTTAGGGAGAAAGGGCGTGAGATGCGTTCCCTACCCTCTTTTGTACCCTTCCTGTGCTGTGACTGAACGGCCTGTCTTGGTTTGGCTGTCCTCCTGCTGCTCCACTGGGCTTTGAGGTCCTGTGGACGTGGTGGTCTTGGTCAACAGAATCTAGGAAAGTCGAGGGCTTTCTTTCTTGACCGTCTATCGTCAAAATGTTCCACTAAATCCTACCATGAAATGTTCCTTACCTTTCCTTCAGATGTGAAGTACTCGGCAGGACTAGTACTTTATAGAAATCTTTACTTCCTTAACAATAGTTCAAAAATTGAGAGAGGATACTACTGCAGGCGTATAGGAGTGGCTTCATATGGCTGTTTTCTCTTCTAACTTTGCAGGGCCCAATATCTGATTCATTTGTGCCAATTGATTGAAATGTCTTCCACATCTTTTATTTCTCTGACCCTCGCATTTATGGATTAGATTTGTGGCTTACTGATTTTCAGGAGGCAACACTTGTGTCACATAGCCAACAGCACAGCTGTGACAGTGGATGAGCAGCTCTGCAAGGGCCATCAGCCAGGCTGGCTACCTCGGACTCCAGAGAGGACCCAGGAAGGGCTGCTCAGAGCCACACGCTGTGCCAACAAGGAAGAATTGCATAGAACTTGTTAGGGCCCTAAATTGGTTTGGGAATATCTGTAGGTTCCGTAATTTCTCCTTAGGTGTTTTTCACCTGTATGTGTTCAATCATTTCCGTCTCATAAAATGAAGGGAGCAAAGATTTTATCTTCCGTTTTCTTATATCTGCTGATTTCCCCTTCCTCCAGTAACAGCACTGTAACAATAAAATAAACCCAAACTATTTTTATTTCTTTAGATTAGTGAAGAGCCAAGATCTATCTTATTCCAAATATATAATTATCCTCAATTTTATACCTGATTTCCAATTATTACTATCATAAAATGTTAATATTCAACTTTTATTTTTAAAATATATGTACATGTTATATGACATTAATATATTATTTTAAGTTATTATTCTTACTTAATGATTAGTCTAATGATGTTTACACTGTGTATTGATTTGGAGTTTTAATTACTTATTCTTAATATTAGAACTACAGTTTAAAGAATGATTGCCAGAACTTTTTTATTTATGTATTTTTTGTTTTGCATTTTAGGTGTACAAGAATTTCCAGAAAACATTAAGTGCTGTAAGTGTTTAACAATTATTGAAGCCAGTGTCAATCCCATTTCTAAGTAAGTATAAGTGATCATATTTTATTTATGTTTATGTTACCACTGGATAATAATTTACCAAGATAAAAGAAATTCACATAATAAATGAATTTTAAATGCTTCATTTAAAATTCAATTTAATAGAATGATGGGAAAGGAATAATAAAATCAGAATAGTTCAACAAAATGTAACAAAAAGCATTGTTGAGTAAAATGAAGGCCTAATTGGCACAAGAAGGCATTACTTTGAAGCAAACAAGGTCATTATTTTTCTTTGGCTCTCAGACAACATTCCATGGAAGAGAGCCCAAACTAAGGCAACAGTTATTAGTTATAGGCTTGGTAGATAATTAGCATCAAGGATCTGATGAAAGTTTAAGAGAGTGCAAGGGTTTAAGGTATTGATAGATGCATGAAAATAGCTAACCATGTAGTTCAGGCTGAAAAAGGAATTAAGAATGACCAGAAAGAGGGAGTATCTGTGTTCCAGAGATTACAAGAAGAGCAAAAAGACAATCCTATATGGATAACAGAATGGAAGGCATGAGTGGTTAAAGGTGCTGCGATCAAAGAAAGGGTATTTGTGGTTAACCGTCTGTTAGTAGAGAAATGCCATGGGAAAATACGACTCAGCATGTGACTTTGATGGGAAATTATGACTGTGGCATAGTGATCAAGCGTACTGTGGAGTCAGGTAGGTCAAGAAATCATGAAGTGAGTGGATTGAATGAGACAGGAAGCTGAACGTTAAACTCACTTAACAATGGAAGTGCAAATAAAATCTAGAAAGGCTATTGACAGTTGTAAAAATATTTGGAAGAGATTGAAACAAATCAGTGGTATTGGGGTGCAGGTAATGAGTTTCAAAGTAAGATTGGCATTTTAATTACACCAAAACTGACAGCAGGACTTGAAAAAGATACTTCAGTCCTTTGTCCACATGAAATTGAGGAGACTGGGAGAAACTGAAGCCCATTGGGAAGGCATTCAATGAATACAGTGTTTCCAAAAGAAGACAAAAGGAAGTTTATCAAAGAGAATTTAAAGGGAAATTTTTCACCAGTAGAGTTGAGAGGGAATAGTAAGGATGGTTTCTCTATGGACCATGATGAGAGGCTGCAGATGAGAGTAGGAATGGAATAGAATATGAAAGAATGAGATAGAAGTTTAGACGGGGATCTTTACAGTGAAAGGTTTGTGAAATAATTTGATGCGTTTAGTCGAAAGTGTAGAACATTAAGCAATAAAATGTGTTTGAAAGATACAACTCTTCTACCTCAAAAGTAAGGGAGAAAAAGTCCTGTGAAGAAGGTTTTCCAAAACTCTTGAGCCAAAATGCACTTTTCTCAACAAAGAAATAGATGTTGCTAACTTCTCACGTCAAGACTACAGCCATTTCGTTGATTTCAGTTGTAATCCAGGACAGATGATAAGTTGTTCTGCTTTCTAGTTCTTTAATTCTAATGGCTCATCTTGTTTAAGAATCGTGGAGAGGCCTTTAGGAGTGGAAGTCAGATGACAATTTACATCTTTAAGAAGCTTAAAGTATGTAGTTTTATTGGCTGTGTCTCTGGATTATTTTCATATATTTAACTTTTTAAAAGATGAATGAATATGACATATTTCATCCAAGAATGCTGAACACTAAAAGCATTCAGCAACTTGGGAATTCGTTAAAACTTACTTGCTTGAAGAGTCAATTTAAATAGTATACTAATTTTAAATCCAGACTTTTTTAAAGATATAATTTACATACAGTAAAATTCACCCTTTTAGGTGGTATGGCTCAGTGAATTTTGATAAATGTATACAGTCATGGAACCACCACAATCAAGATATAGAATATTTTCGTCATCCCAAACAGTTGTCTCAGCCCCATCATCCACGGATCTGATTGCTATCCCCATAGTTTTGCCTTTTCCAAAATATCATATAAATGGTATCATATTTTTGTGTCTGATTTCTTTTATGTAACAGTGATTTTGAGATTTCTCCATGTTGTTTCAAGAATCATTACATTCCCTGTTATTTCTAGGTGGTATTCCTTTGTATGGATATACCACAGTTTATCTATTCAACAGTTAATAGACATTTATATTGCTTCCAGTTTGGGGCTCTTATTAATAAAGCTGGCATACATATTTATGTACAAGTGTTTGTGTAAGCATATGTTTTCACTTCAACTGGGTAAACACCTAGGAATGCTTTCCTGGGTAATGTGGTATGTGTATGTTTAACCTTATAAGAAATTTCCAAACTGTTTTCCAAAATACCTTCTCTATTGAGGATTCCCACCAGCAATTTATGAGATTTTCTGTTCCTCATCTTTGTCAGAATTTGGCACTATCATTTAGTTTTTCTATTTTAACTAGTCTAGTAGATGTGGTATCTCATTGTGGTATCTCACTATAGTTTTAATTTACATTTTTAATGTCAAAGTAACATCTTTTCATGTATTTATTTACAGTCTGTATTGCTTCTTTCATAAAAGTTCAAATCTTTTGTTCATTTTTATTGACTTGTCTTTTTATTATTAAATTAAAATAATTCTTTGTGTATTCTTGCTAAGACCTTTATCAGATAGTTGTTTGCAAATATTTGCTCCTATTTTATGCCTTATCTTTTCACTTTCTACATAGTGACATTCAAAGAGAAGTTTTTAATTTTGACGAAGTCCTATTCATAAATTTTTTTGTGGTTTATGCTTCTTGTTCCTATCTAAAGGCATCCTTGCTAAATGCATAGTCATAAGTATTTCCCCCTATGTTTTCCTCTGAAATTTTTATAATTTACATTTTATGCATAGGTCTTTGATCCATTTAAAGTTGAGTTTTGTATATGTGCAAGGTGTGAAGGTCAGGGTTCTTTTTTTTTGCATATAGATATCCAATTGTTTCTGTATTATTTGTTGAAAATATTATCTTTTCGTTATAAAACTACTTGATTGCTTTTTATGTAAACCAATTGATCATGTGTTGGATCCATTTCTGGGTTCTCTATTTTTCACATTAATCTGTATGCCTGTTCTTACACCAATTCCATATTGTCTTAATTGTAGCATTATAATAAGTCATACAATCAGAGAACATGAGTCCAACTTTGTTCTTCTTTATCAAAATTATTTGGGTTATTCTATGCCCTTTGCTTTTCCACACAAATTTTTAATCAGCTTGCCAATTTCTACAAAAATATAAAAGCCTTCTTGGATTTTGATAGAGATTGCATTGAATCTGCAGATCAATTTGGGCAGAATGGACATCTCAAAAATATTGAGTATTCTTATCCCTGAGCATCCTATATCTCTATACTTGCTTAGAGCTTTTAAAATTTCTTTTATCAATGTTTTATAGATTCAGCATACAAATCTTGTACCTGTTTTGTTCATTTTGTTCCAAGTATTTCATGTTTTTTGGTGCAATCGCAGATGATTTTTCTATTATTCAAGTATTTATTGCTGGTATATGGAAATACTATTGACTTTTTTATATTGATCTTATATCCTGCAGCCTTACTAAATTCACTTATTAGTTCTAGTAGATATTTTGTATGTTGAGGAAGGGGGGATTTTCTATGCAGACCATCATGTCCCCTGTGAACGAAGACAGTTTTATTTCATCCTTTTAAATTTGTATGCCTTTTATTTATTTCTTTTTCTTACTTTGTTGTCCTGGCTAGGACTTCCTGTACTATGTTGAATAGAAGAGGTGAAAACGGGCGTGATGTCTTGTTCCCAATCTTAGGGAAAAAGCACTCAGACTTTCACCATTATGTATGATTATTACTTATTTTTTCATACATGCCCTTTATCAGGTTGAGGAAATTTTCAATAACCCATTCCTCATTTTGTTTTGAGCCCTCACCAACAGGACCCTCAAAGTTTAGATGTCTGCCTTCAATCTTTTCGAGGAAACATAGGCTTTCTCTATGATGCTCTTCAACAGCTGTCCGGTCTCTGACCACTACCTGGCTCCAAAGCCAATCCACATTTTTAAGAATTTATTACGGGAGAATCCTAATTCAAGATACCAAAATCTGTGTTAGTTTTCTCAAGCTGCATAAGAGATTACCACAACATAGTGACTTAAAACAACATGTGTCTGTTATCTGTTAGCTTCTGTGGGTCAGAAATCTGGGCATGAGTTAGCTGAGTTCTCTGCTTCAGTGTTTCACTAGGCTGCAATCAAGGCATTAGTCAAGCTGTATTCTCATCTGAAGGCTCAACTGGAGAAGAATCCACTTTCAAGTTCACTGAGGTTCTTGGCAGAATTCAGGTTTTGCTGTTATTAAGCTGAGAGTCCCAGCTTTTTGCCTGCTGGTAGCTGGAGGCCACTCTTGCATCACAGAGGCTGGTACAGCTGCCAGTCATGTGACCCTCCCCATAGGCACTTCACAACGTAGCAGCTTGTTTCTGTAAGGCCAGCAGCTGAGTAAGAGTGGGTCTCCTAGCAAGATAGAGTCATATAACGTGATAAAGTTATAGGAGTGACGTCTTATATTTGTCACATTCCATTCATTAGAAGCAAGTCACAAGTCCTGTCAACACTCAGGAGGAGAAGATTATACAAAGACTTGAGCAGCAGTAAGTGAGGATCATGGAGGTCACCTTAGAATCTACCCGCCACATCTTTGATATCTGGTTTGCTGAGACTTTTTGATATCAGTGGTTGTTGAATTTTGTCAAAGCTTTTTTTTAAAACATCTATTGGCATGATGATATGCTTTTTCTTATTCAGTCTGATGATATGGTGGATTACATCGATTGGTTTTTGAATGTCAATTCAACTTTGCATTCCAGGGATAAATTCTGCTTCATCTTGAAGTGTTAACTCTTTTTGTAAATTAATGACTCTTATTTGCTAATATTTTGTAAAGGATTTTCCCATCTATATTCACCAGGCCTATTAGTCTGAAGTTTCTTTTCTTGTAATTTCTTTGTCTGGTTTTGATATCAGGGTAAAACTGGCCTCAAAAAACAGTTGGGGAATATTTTCTTCTATTTTTTATGAGAAATTGCATAGACT